ACGAAGTAACAAAAGGAATGCAGTTATTTAAAGTATTATACAAGGTGTAACTGAAATAAGTATTCAAAATTTCTGAGCTTGTAAAACAAGTCGAAAAATGACGAAAACTTTAGTACAAATTTTGCCAGTGGCGGCTCCTAAGGGAGCTACGCTCTCAAAGGGGTAACCTCGGAAACAGTTTTTAATGAGTAACATCCAAACGGCTCGACATTAAGTCACAAAATTTTGGTGAGATATTATCCTTGACGTGCTTAATAAGTCTCTAACAGAAATGTCGAATATTTTTAACACTCTTAATAGTAACAAATAAAAATATGGTGATATAAATAAAAGCTAAAAAATAGATACATATGAGATTATTTATTAAACTATTTTAAGCGGCTGAAACTTTTACATAGCATTTTAACAGATTTAAACCATTTAGTTTAGTTTAACAAATTAACCAAATATCTTAATTTCTTTAGCAGAAAATATGCCCTAGTCAAGAAGACAGACTAGATTCAACTTTCAAAATGTCCGCCGTTTGCCCTAATGCACGCACGTAACCTGTTTTCCAAAGAAAATAGGTTCCGGTATAGTTTGTGCTCCACATTGAGTTCATTAAATGCATTTTCTATACGCTGACGCAACTGTTCCTCATTGTCAACAGCTTGGAAATACACTTTTTGTTTCATTTGACCCCACACGTTAAAATCCATTGGGTTGAGGTCTGGTGACCGTGGAGGCCAATTTATGGCAGCATCATTTCCTCGGCCAATCCAGCGATTTGGGAAGTGCTCGTTTAACCACTGTCGACATTGACGGTTGAAGTGAGGAGGGGCGCCGTCATGCATGTACCATAAGGAACCTCGTCTTACCAATACTAAAAATTCATACAATCTAGTAGACAAAAATTGATGGTACATTGCTCCGGTTAAATTTCCAGGCATGATCCAAATAGATTATTTCCTAATGTGGCAGCCCAAACATTTATTTTAAATGAATGCTGATAATGGGTTACCTTCCGAGCATTACGATTTTCTTTGGCCCACATATGTTCATTGCGCATATTAAAAACACCGCTTCATCGGTAAAAATAATATTCGATAGAAACATCGGATCTTCGGCTTGCCTGTCTAAAACCCACTGATAAAACTGTCTGCGCATGGGCCTGTCCTGTGGTAAAATGTCTTGGGCCTGTCTATAATGATGGGGATACAATTGTTGTTCTCATTATCCTCCATACTGTCATATGAGACATGTTATTTTGAACTGATGATCGTCTTGTACTAAGTGTGGCGTTAGCTTCAACTAAATTTAAAATATTTTCCTCATTCAGGACATTTCTAATTATTCTATGCCTGCCTCTCTCAAAATTGTTCCTTTTTAATGTACACCGTTCTCGCAAACGCCTTTTTGTGCAAAGAAATGTTTTGTAATTGGGCACATTTCTGTTGGGGAACTTTTCACCGTATCGTTGTGCGGCTGCTCTTGCGCTTCCATGATATTCACCTAACCTCAAAAGCATATCTACGTACTCAGAAAATGTATACTGTTGCATTTTTAAATTATTTGATATTTTTATTTACTATAAAACGGCACTGCGAATACTCAAATGACACAAATTTGAAACTAAAAATACTTGACATTTCTGTTAACTGTCAGACTAGTTGTTTTCCCCATGGCACACTGCAATTAATTTATTTTGCTATGTAATGAAAGTTGAATTTGGAGCACGTTGGGAATGATTGAAATCGATTTTACTGGAAAACGGCACATCCTAGTGAAATTTAACAAGAGGACCTTTTTTATGTTAAATACTTCAAATTTTAATATTTTCGAGTCAGGAACTAGAAAAAATTGACTACAAAAAAGATATGATTAAATTTGTCCCTGGGTCCTGCATTTTCTCACGCCCCTGTAGCAAATTTTGAAATGTATTTTATGAGATTTATTAAGCACGTCAAGGTTAATATCTCACCAAAATTTCGTGACTTAATGGCGAGCCGTTTGGATGTTACGCATTAAAAACTGTTTCCGAGGTTACCCCTTTAGGAGGCCCACTGACAAAATTTGTACTAAAGTTTTCGTCATTTTTCAACTTATTTTACAAGCTCAGAAATTTTGAATACTTATATCAGTTGCACCTTGTATACAGGGTGGTCCACTTTTTTTTTATCAAACTTAAGGAATCAATACATTATCAAAAAATAATGTTAGTTTGCTAAATAAACTATACCCGACAAATGTTTACTTTTGAGATACAGCGCGTTAAAGTTTCCCGAAAAATAATATATTTTTCGAATTTTTCTGCAGGTGACGAGGTTTCACCCGTAAGATTTTTATAAATGATTTTGCACTGTACGTGTGATCTTTGGAGAATTTTTGATTTTTTTTTTACTTTACCAGTGACGGAGAAAATAGGGGTCTCCATTGATTTAGTAAAAAAATATTAGTACGCCACTGGCTTTAAATTTAAAAAACAATATTTTTTGGATTCTCCTTTTACTTTGGGACAAAAAATTATCCTTGTAAGTTTTTCGTAACTATTATCATTTTCAAGTAAAATTTATTTATTATGTGTTTGAAGTATTTTAGTAACAAAATTTTGTATTCCGTTCTGTTTTGAATGTGTGTATCTTTGTGTCATGTTGGAACTGACACGGAGCTAGAGGATGTATACACTTGTGAAAATTGTTGATTTTTTTTAGTATTGGCTAATAAATATTATTATTATTACTATTATTATTATATTATTACTATTACAATAGACCTACAAATTGCAGTTGAATTAACGACAATAAAATAATTACTGTATCAATTCAATAATCAATATTTACTGAAACTATTGAAAGTAATAATTACAGCCGCATAACATCTAACAAAGTTGTTCGAAATGCCCGCCTGCTGCATTAATACACATTTCACATCTTCGTATTAAAGAATTTATCCCCATGATGATTTCATGTGGCCTCTGCTTGAGATTATCACAGGCGTCTATTATTCTTCTCTGCAACTGATTTCTGTATTCAATTGGTATAGAGTAAACATCATCTTTCAACGTACCCCATACATAGTAGTCGAGGGGGTTAAGATCTGGTGATCTAGGAGGCCAAGGCACCGGCACCTCCACATTAAACAACGGTTCATATGGCAAACTTCCTATCCAGCGGTTCTGATAATTTGCATTCATCCAGTTGCGAACTATTTGGCCAGAGTGAGCTGGAGCTCCATCCATTTGGAACCAACTGCGATATCTTTGGTTTAAGGGAATATCTTCCAGTAATTGAAATAATTTTTTTTCCAGAAAATTAGCAAATGATACTGAATTTAGCCTTGGAGGTAATACATAAGGTCCACAAATATTTCCACCCATCACGCCTAACCAGATATTAGAACTAAATTCTTGCTGGTATGATCGGCGTCTCACTTCATGAGCCCAAATATGACTGTTGTGATAATTAAATGTGCCTCTTCTTGTAAAACAAGCTTCATCGGTCCATAAAATATTTCGAATAAATTCATTGTTATACTGCCAACGGTTTAAAATCCAGCGACAAAAGCTTAACCTTTTTTCAGCATCTCCTGGATGTAGATCTTGTACGGGATTGAAATGATATGCACGTTTACGGAAATTGTGATAGCAATGCCAAACAATCTTGAAGAATATCGAAGGCGTCTTACGATTTGAGAAACTCTCGACTTATCAAATTTTTATGTACACTTGTATTAGAATTAGGCAAATTATGTTTAGGCAAGTAAAACATAATAAATAATAAATTTGCATGGTAATATGTCCACGTTATTGTATAGAAATAAGTAAATAAATTTTACTTGAAAATAATAATAGTTACAAAAAAAATTACAAGGATAATTTTTTGTCCCAAACTAAGCGGAGAATCCAAAAAATATTGGTTTTTAAATTTAAAGCCAGTGGCGTACTAATATTTTTTTACTAAAACAATGGGGACCCCTATTTTCTCTGCCACTGGTAAAGTAAAAAAATTTAAAAATTCTCCAAAGATCACACGTACAGTGCCAAATCATTTATAAAAATCTTACAGGTGAAACCTCATCACCTACAGAAAAATTCGAAAAATATATTTTTTTTCGGGAAACTTTAACGTGCTGTATCTCAGAAAGTAAACATTTGTCGGGTATAGTTTATTTAGCAAACTAAGATTATTTTTTGATAATGTATTGATTCCTGAAGTTTGATCGAAAAAAAGTAGACCACCCTGTATATATCTGGTGAATTCTGTTAATTTCGCAAAAATATTTGTGCTATGTCACAGTTGTCCAGATGCTATATTATAAGATAGTCCTGGGTTTCCTTCGATCTCTTAGTGTTTTAAATCAAAGCCCTCACGTCATTGCTAAATTTTCCCAGATGTCACATTTCAATACAGCTTTTACACTTTCTGTTTTATAGATAACCGAATTAAAAAAATTTTGATTATGATTTAAAACGAGGAAATGCCATGATGAATAAATTGAATTTCTTACACACCATTTGTTTTCTATTTTACAACAAAATTATATAACACAAGAGGAATTAAAAATGAGATTATAATGGTCTACCATGGATAAAGTGTATGTAGAATTCAAATGCCATTGTTTAGGGCCATGCAAGTTCGATTTGTTAGATTACTATTTATGTGATAACATTTTCTTGTATCAAACTAACAAGAAAATATTCAAAAATGTTTTACTTTTATAACAGGTAACTTGTAATTAGGTATGGTATGGTATTATTATTTCTCTTCTGACCCACAGTTATATTTATTAATATACTGTGTTCTCAAAGAATCGAATTAGGGGAGGGTTGACTGTTTTTATTATACTCCAATATAATAAAAGATAATTCTACTGAAAATATGAATTAAGTTAATGCCGTTACATTCCTGTTTGTTACAAAATTATCATATCTCATCATCATATCTATCTACCCTATACCCATATCTTATGCACACGCATGAGCGTCATGGCTGTTCGGGTAGTTAGTAGTATGCACTGTACAGCCCCTGATAGAATCCGCCCTGTCCTCCCCCTTGGCTGCCCTGGCTCAGGTGTCACAGCAGTTTGATCCAAGAGAGGCGGCTAGCTTAGGTCTGCAAGGATGGGATCTACAACAACTTGCACTTTATTTGTTGGTAAGTTTAAAACTTTTTTTCAGGTAAGCTTAACGGCTTTATTGATTTTAATTCCTTTTACCTTCTCACTGTTTCACCTTTTTCCATTTGATTTAAACTAATTTGTATATAATTTTTCAAAAGAGTAGTATATCTATGTTGTCCCCAAATACTCCTTTTTTGTCTTCACAGACTTAATGATTTAATTTTATAGATATTCTTTTGCATTTTGCACTGATAGCATAAATGTGCAATATAGTCTGTTTCTGGCCTAGAATACCTTTTTCACTTATTTCTAACTCATTACAAATCCAAGACATTGATACTCACATTTTCAGAAGATGGAAAGACAAGGGAAACAAGCTATGGAACAGGCTTTGAGAGATACCAACAAAGAACGTGAGAAGCTTACAATTGGAAAGAGATGGACCAAACGCGAGGAAGCTGATTTTTTCAGAGTAGCATCATCCTATGGAGTTATATATTACAGAAAGAGGAAGGCGTATGATTGGTTAAAATTCAAACAATTAGCTAAACTCGAAAAAAAATCTGATGAGGATTTAACTGAATATTACAAACATTTTGTAATGATGTGTAAAAAACAATCTGGAGTAAATATTGAAGAAGGAAGTTATGACACATCTATTGAGTCCATTTCAGAAGAGAAAGCAAGGCGTACATTGGAAAGATTGGAATTATTATCAAAGATCAGAGAAGAAATCTTAACTCATCCAAAATTAGATGAACGCTTGAGGGTATGCATCACTTCGGCAGATATGCCAGAATGGTGGATTGCTGGAAAACATGACAAAGATTTATTATTAGGTGTTGCTAAGTGAGTATTTTTTACTATTTCAATAAATGTTGCAGTGAAAGAATTACATTGTCTTTATAGAATTTTTTAAGTTCTCTTATTATCTAATCCAAAATCAGACATTTAAGAAACAGATTACAAATTTTACAAGTAATCAAAATAGTAATAAAGACAGTAACAAAAATTATAGTAATTAGAGAAATTAAAAATTATCATCAATCAATCATCAATCAAGTGCTCGAACTGGAACTCTTTCATTTTCCAAATAATATAAAGTAGTTAAAAGAAAAAATTAATTTGATGTTTTTGATTGATTTTTCTAATTAATGTTTTACATTTTTTCTAATTACCAACCAATATTCTAATTAATTTACTTCTAGTTTATAAAGGGGATACAAATACAATGATGGGGTATTTTTTGCTACATGTTAAGTATTTAAGTGAAAAAAAATTGTTGGTTCAAAATACTGTCATGGTGACCAGTTATATGTTGTGCGCCTTCATCACCTTCAAAAAAGAGGTCCACTTCGTGTAAGCTGTAGAAGTAATAAATTTTGTGTGAAATCAAAAATCAAAAAATTTTTATTAAATATGTGTTCGTAGTTAGAAAAAAAATGGCTGACATACGAATTTTAGTCTCGATTTTTCAATTTTTTTTTAACTTGAAAGTGTTTAAAAAATATTAAAAATATGTTTTTCCCTATTTTGTTAGTATATCCTCCAATTAATTTAATTTACCTTAAATTAAAAAAAAAGTTGGGTGCAAGATCTAGAGCGTACACAAGTTCAGAAAACGTAGTTTTGAGAAAAATATTAAACACACAGTTGTTGCCATACACATAAAACTTGTTTTTACCGCACATGTATACAGAGTGATGCAGTCATAATGACATTAATTTTAAGAGCTGATAGAGAAAAATGAGTATAATACGATGGTGTGATTAAAAAAAAATTAAAGGCATATTTAAGCAGAAAAAAAAAATTTCAAAAGTCAGGAAAAACCTGAAAAAGTCAGGGAATTCTATATTACATTTGAACTATAAACACTGTTAAATCAATTGTTAATACAGCTATCTACCATCATCATTTACACTTATTTCGCAATGAGAAAAAAAATCTAGAAAATCGAACAGAAAGTAAGTGCCTAGATAATATGATAGCTCACGTGTAAGGTTAATTTCGAAAAAACCATGTGAGTACAATATTTTACATATATTGTTTATCTACGAAAACAATATAACATTTTTTTTAAGTTTCATGTAAATACCCTCTTAATGTTTGTTGGGTATAGAGATGGGCAATGGGAAATTTTCCGTCCCGGAAAGTTTCCAAAACGGAAATTTTCCGGGAAGAAATAATCGAAGCCTGAGAAATTTTCCCTGGAAAGTTTCTAGAAAAATTTCCATTAGAAATTTTCCGGGAATATTTAACAACAATTTGTATGCTTGGAGTCAATTTTACTTCTAACTTCTGTGAATACAACCTCAAAAAATCGTTAGTTAATTTCGGATTTTCGGTTAATTCAGAATACCAGAAGACCATATTATCCAAATTAGTCAGAAAATACTTACACTTACTTATTTTAATCTTTGTTAAGTTTACAATCTACATATAGAGAGCAATACAAGACATAAATTGCCTCTCCCTTTTCAAATTTAAAATAAATTTTGATAGTTGAACCAAAGTATAATTACATTTTAAAACTAGCATAATTATTTAATGTATTTACTATTTATTTGTTAAAAAATAAATATAAATAGAGTTTTGTCTACCTATAGTGTTTGCGCACTGCAACTCGCAGCATGTAATTATTTATACCAACTTAAACAAAAATGTATAAGTATTTGGTCTTTTTGGAAAGCTGATGGTATGTAGAACGTAATACCAAATCCAAAAAAAAAAGTTCGAAAAATTTCTGGAATTTTCAATGGAAACATTCCAGGAATTTTCATAGTTTGGGAATTTTCCCATCTCTAGTTGGGTACATAATAATATTTATTTATTTATCGGCAAACATTTTTTGGCAATTCTAATATTTTATTATGGATGCAAAGCATGCAAATTGTTAAAGTTACTTTTAATAAAAATACTTTATTATTAGCTATTTACTCTATTTTAAATATGTAAAATTCCAAATAAAATGTGGAAACAAATTTCTCTTTGTAGCAACTTTTTACATGATTAGTCTTTGTCAAGAGTGGCAATAGGATAGCAAAATATAACATATTTCTTTAAATGATAGCTTTATTTAACAATTTGAATATATGTTATTGTATTAATTATAAATAGACATGTCATTTTTAGTTTTTATTTTGGATAATATTAGCTGGGCCATATAACCCATAAAGTAATTGCTTCCTTCAATATCAGTAGTTAGGAGTCTTGTCTGTGGGGTTAAGATATATTTTGCATACCTAGATTTCTGATATTGAAGAACATTGTTTGACTTCATTTGACAAGATTTAAAGAAAACAATGAATTTGTCTAAATTAACTTAATACCAGTGAAATAGAGTATAGAAAATATTAAAGAGGTGTATGCAACCACTTACTTTTAACGTAATAAGTAAAAGATAAATAAAAGACTAATTTCAATGAGTAACATCTTACTTCTCTCTAATAAATACACAAGTGTCCTCCAAAGCAATACCTATGTGGAAAGTATTATATGTATTTGTTTTATAAAACTTAAAAAAATTAATATTCATAATTGTTTTATAAAAATTCTGCCGTTTTTCTTTGCAAATCTAAATTACAAATTTTATAACAGAGCACCTAATGTACTCATCATTGCTCCTCACTTCTGGCTTATGTCTTTGGTGGGTGCTCTTCCTAATTATCCAGCTATAATTAATCATTACAATTGAATTTGATCTTAAGATAGGCATATCTGGAATTGTTCAAACTAACTTCCTCAAAATTATTAAAACTTTACTAAGATTTTTTTAGATGCAAATCTTTAAAAACTATCTTTATTTGAAAAACTTAGTAACACCCCTTACCGTGGCCTATTACAACTTTTTTTTAATTATTAAATATTTATGCAAGAAAAACTAAATTATTAATGCAAAAGTACAAATTACCTATTTGTTCCATATTTATTCAGAAAAAATTGAAAGAATGAACAATAAACTAATTGAAATAAAATATATCAAAAACTTGTTTTTAAATTTATGTAAAAAATTTAAAAAATAATGTATATGTTTCTGAGATATACATTATATTTTATAGCCCAGAATAACGGAAATAGAATAAATAGAATGCTGTTTATATATTCCGGTTTATATTGTTGATGTATATTTGTCAAAATTATATATTTGTCTTATAAAATCAAATTATATTTGTTTCACCAAACTATAAATTATCTAACACAACTTCTGTTCCATTAAGTACTTATTGTTTTGCAGGCATGGTCTTGGGAGAACTGATTATTATTTGTTGAATGACCCAGATTTATCATTTCATGAAGTTTTGAGAAAAAAAGTTCGATCCGATTCTATAGATACAAAAGAAGCAATAAAATTGGAAAGTCATGAAGATATATTAAAATTTGATAAAGATGAGATTCTCGTCAAATTAGAGAAAGGAGAAGGCACATTGAAAATTGAAAAGGTTGCTTTAAAAAAAGAAAATCTAGAGGAAAAGAAAGAAAATCAAGAAAATAAAATAAATTTAACAATTGTAAGGAGTGACAAATGTGATGGTGATGGAAATAAAGGAAATAAAGATTATGAAAAATTAACCGATTCTGGAGAGTTCCAAGATCAAGAGAAAAAAGAAATTAAAGATGAAAAAATAGAAATACAAAAGTCATCTGATGCTGAAGGATTGGAGGAGAAAAAATTGGAAGAAGAAGAGAATTTCAGTGATGAAATAACATTTTCCAAAGTAGATCTAGATAAAGAGATTGAAGGGAAACAAATTGAATCTGAAGATTTAAGTAAATTGAAAATCGAAAAAACTGGAGAACCAGCAAAAAAATTACCTGAGTCTGAATCTGATTTGTGTTCGAAGCAAGCTGCTGAACTTAAGGCAATGTTTCCTGATCTGGAAGTAATTCAACCACTATCCAGATTGTCTCAAGTGGATACGTTTGTGCTACGTGATAAACAAGGAAGTGGGGCTTTAGATTTCAGTGAAACGACTGTGGCTCAGTTATTCAATGATGCTGTTAAATGGCCAAAGGAATATGCTATTCAAGTTCGACTACAACATATTATATATGCAGTCGAAACAAAAGAATGGCCAGCTACGAAATCATTCTCAGCATATGCAACTGGCATTGGGAATGAATTTGACATTCCAATTCATGAATTGCCTAATGAACCGATTAAACGAGAAACCTCAACTCCAATGTCACTAGGAGACCCTGATGTAGTTTCAATAAGCATGGATCGGAATGGAACAAATAAAAAACGTAAAAGGCACATTGCTATTGATGTTGAAACTGAAAGAGCAAAATTGCACGCTTTATTGAATAGTAGTCATATGGCTACATCTATCTCTAAGCATGGGATGTCATGGGATAATGAAGACTCAGAAGATTCCAGGAGGTCAACTCCTAGTAATTTACAGCCACCCCCTGCTCATCAGCAGACATCACGATTAAGCTTGACTAGTTTAAAAATGCCTTATGACCTTCCTTACCATACTCCACCTGCAAAAACCATTGGTCAGACTACTGTCATTCCCGGAACAAGTAGTACTCTTACTCCAATTGATTTAAGTTCGAGGTAAGTTTTATATTCAACACAAAAAAAAAACATGATTAAATTAAGATGATTTATATGCAAAATTTGGCGCCAAAAAAATATAGAAAAGTAAAGAAACCACTGTAGTATAGTTGAATCTATATCCAAGTTGGTATTTTAGTTTGAAAATAAAACTGATTTATAAAATTTTTCCGTTACCTTTCGTGAGTAACAAGGTACTGCATCTCATCCATAGAATAGCGAACTACATATAATTTAAAAAACAAAGCTAATCTATAAAATAGATTGCTGTTTCTATGAGATGAGATGAATTATTCCTTAATATATTGATGACATGAGCGGTGATGTCAACTATAACTTAGCTCTACATAGAGTTTTCTAAATACATGTCATAACTTGAGGGTTATTTCTTAGAATCGTTTTAAACAAAATACCCTTAATAAACCAAAGTACAAACAACAATAGAATCAATCTTTTAGCGGCTGTCGAGAAATTCAGTATACTTTTAAAGGCATCTCTCACTAATGACACATTGTCCAATCAGATTATACTGACCTGTTAACAGAAAATGGTGTGCACTGAAGTAAGTCTATATAAATATATAAAAATAAATAATAAAAATATTTGAAATTGTAAACAGTAGGTGGATATAATAACGTATAACACTTCTTCAAGTTATTTATTAATATAGAAAGTGTTGCTGCTACCGTTGAATCATTCACTATGTTGGTATACACTACATATAAATTATTAGGTAAACAAAATGAATTATTGAGAATTATCATACTAGTTGATTGAAATCTGAGGTACATCATAAAAAGAAAATATTTAAAAAATATGGGATCGGTATTTGTTCTTTTGACTTAACGACGTCTTATATCAATGTGAACGAGGCACCAAACATTAATAGGAACATCCTATTGTTTTTAAACATATATATTTTTTTTTCATGATTTATTTAATATTGGTATGTAGATAACCTTACTAAAAAATGTACATAATAAAAAGATAAATAAAAATATATATTACCGTTATTCAGTTAAACAGCCATATTGTCTCTGGAAAGCTGCTACTGCCAGATAAATTTACACCTGGTATGATATGCAGAGATACCAAACAGGTAAAAATCTGCCATGTTAAATCGGCGAAATGGTAATGGTCGAATCATCACCCTTTCATTTTGCAACATTTTTATTTTAATTTTCAGTTTATCAGTTTAAGATATCTGTGAAATATGTTTGTGTTGTGTGCAGTAAGTTTGAAAGAAATATATTTCTGGCTTTGACATATATACAGATGGAGTGACATTTACCAGTGTGGAAAGTAATCACTTTCCACCCAGACAAATGTCACTTAACCCAGGTAAATGTCAACATTCATTAAATAATGAAAATGTTTATTTCAAAAAACCTTGCACGATTCTTCTTAGGTAACAAATATTTTTCCAAACTTTCAGCGAATTCTCTCATTTGAGGAGTACAAATAATTTCTTCTGAATTGTCTTCGAAAACACTTTTTTGATGACAATCTATCAAAAATGCAACTAATTTAAGATTGTGTGTTTGACATTCTTAATGCCATAGTAACCATTATCAAAATGCCAAATTGCCTTTTTTTTTATCTGAAATCTGGTTATGAAGGGATCTTACTTTGTTAATTTTTCACGTAATTATTTTTTTTACAAAAACCATCACTTGCATTTAAAATGTTTGGTTGTAAATAAAATAATATACAAACCTCGGTGAAAAGTTTCATTTTTGTCTCGAGAAATGGTTCATTCCGGCACTACGCGCCTCGGTAAACCATCCTTTTTTCTCAACAAGAATGAAACACTTTCCACCTCGGTATGTAATATATTATCTAGTTGCATAGAAATGTTTTACAAAATTCTTGATTTTAGATTTAAAGCCGAAAACACAATTATTTAACATTCTCGTCATGTACATTTAATATTCCGGTGACCAAAATGTATTGAAAAATTTACTGTTTTTTCAAGCTGTTGGGTTCTCGACAGATAGTTTTACAAGTTACAGCACTTTTCAATGTTGTTTGTTTGAATGGTGTAAAGTTAGATTAGATATAATTGTTCTCTATTCCATGTCCTAATGCGAGTCAAAAAATTCTCACCTTCATTCTTGAAGCCCTGGAATAGAATTTGGAAAATGTAACTCCAGAAGTTTTGTGCTCCTCAGTGAGCAGGTAGCAGTTAGGCGTGTTTTCCACAATTTTTCATATTTTTTTATTCATTGTGCAAAAATTTGACCTGATTCAATCATTGACGTCATTGCTACACACTTTTGTGAGTAAACTACGCCATTTCAACTGACTGAACGTTTTCATTGGTTAAAATTTGATTAGCATGTTCTGCACAACTGAAGGAAATACTTCCTTCTCATTTATGATAGCTACTGAGTGAACAACCTTAGTTTCCTCCAAAACCCTCTTCATGATATATTTATCTGAAACAAGCTGCCTAGCAATGAGAAGAAAAGGTTATTTTAAGTCTGATCGACCTCGTAAATAATTTGGAAAATGTTTTAACAAACTCATATTTTTGTCACAGAATTCTTCACGTCATGTGACTTGATCTTTTCCCTATGGTATATGGTATACTGCCTATTTTTTTAAATGTAAAAGCCAAAATTACATTTTTTAAATTGTCAAATAAATACATACAGAAACATTTTTTCCCACATATGGTTTCTCATATCAAACAGAATATCTGTGCCACTGCCCCCTTCTTTTTATGGTGAATTTTGTATTTGTCTGCATTTTTTCTGTGTGAGATTTTTACAGGTGGCAAATCATCCAAAAAATAAAGAGAAATTAAATCTGATCAAGATTAAGTGACAGTGAAAAAAGCATGTTGGATAACCTATCAGGTTCGGAAAGTCCCCATGGTACATCGGCCGTTACGTGAGAGCGATAAAGTAAGTCATAGAAATCCGTGTGATAAACAAGGATGGTTACATTGAAGATGTTTCATAATATGAATAGTCACTCCCACTTCTAACCTGAAACAGATGATGACTATTCAGATTATGAAACGTCTTCACTATAGCCATCCTTGTCTATCGCACGGATTTCTTTACTTTGTCGCTCTTAAGTAAAGGCAGATGGACCATGTGGATTTTCCAGCACTGTATAATAAGAGCATTAGGCAAAACTATTTTCATAAAAATATTCCTTGGTAGATACTTTTGGCATTTCAGAATTTTTTAAATTTTATCAGGTGGCAAAATACCCAAAAAATAAAAAGGAAAAAATTAAAACTATGCCACACATAAATAACTTAAGATAGTATGACAGATTTTAGTTACAAATAGTTTTGCTGGAGAAAAATCTGTGTAAGAAGAAAGTTAAATACAAAGAATTGAATTTTTAATTGAATCTATAAAATCACCATTATCGCGGGACTTCCTAGCCGAACATTTTCAGAAATATTGGAATAAGTATGAAATTTTCTTAAACTTGAACATTGTATCTGAAATAAATTTGAACCTTTGGTTTCATTAATAATATAATAATAATAATAATAATAAATTTTATTTCATATATGCCAACACAGGATACGAACGTCAGATTTAAAAAAGAGAAAGAAAGACTACAACAATACAAAACTACAATAATACATAAATAAAGCCTTACATATTACTTATACTTAACGTATACATATAAAATAAATATAAAAAATAAGATGTAGAGACAATGCGAATCATGTATAGGTATCTAAGAATTCCTTCACAGTGTAAAAGCTCTTTTCGTAAAGAAATTCTAAAAGTTCTTTTTTAAATTTAGAGACACTGGTTAGATTTCTTATTGTTAGAGGTAGTTTGTTATAAACTGTACTACATGTATAATACGCACTTCTCTGATAGAGAGATAATCTGAATTTATCTGAAAATATTAGCTGCACATCTTGTATTGTGATTGTGAATCGTGGTACGACAGGGAAATAAATTTGAATTTTTCTTAACAAATAAGGCTGCTTCATAAATAAGAACGGATGACACAGTTAGTATTTTATTTGCTTTGAATAATGGCTTGCATGATTCAAGCGGTTGATATGAAAAAATGAGTCGTAAGATTCTTCTTTATAATATGAAGACTGTGAATCTCCTTCGATTGACCCCAATACAAGATTAAGTTTTTTATATGCGAGTACACCAATGCATAGTAAACATTTAGTAGATACTTCCTGTCAACAGTAGACTTAAGGTTTCTGATAACATAATACGACGAATTTAGTTTTGCTACAACATGCTCAATGTGTTTAGACCAGGACAAGTCCTTGTCTATATGCTGTCTCAGAAATTTTGCACAAGTAACATTGTCTATTATTTCATTATTTATTGATAGTGTGAAGTTTGTCAACGACAAGAGCTCCCTACGAAATATAACATACTTAGTTTTACTTGCGTTCATAATAAATTTATTCGATGCACACCAAGCATGAAAATGTGACAATTATATTCACGTACTGCTGCAGTAAACTAACAGATTCGGCTTTAACACAGATGGCAGCATCGTCATCAAACATTACTAACAATTTGTTAGCTGTGTGCGACAAATGAGCGTCTAGATCGTTGATAAATAAAATAAAGAGTAATGGCGCTAGCACACTTCCCTGTGGAACTCCTAGGTTAAGTGAGTTTACCGAGGAATTAACGTTACCTAATTTTACAGAAATTTTCCTGTTGTGCAAAAAAGATTCCACCCATTTATTGAGAGATCCTCTGATGCCTAGAGTATGTAATTTCCTTGCTACGAAACTCCTTATTACACAATCAAACGCCCGTGTTAAATCAAAGAACAAAGCGATNTTCCTTGCTACGAAACTCCTTATTACACAATCAAACGCCCGTGTTAAATCAAAAAACAAAGCGATGACATACATATTCTTCTTTATCAAGCCGTTTTGGTCTAAAATAATTTGTGGAGCATCCTTTTAAAGTTATGATATGACCTTAAGAAACATCCATTTTAATATATAAAATCAAACATGAAAAAATTTACCAAATAGAGGGCGTCAGATTTTCGAGGTAAAATAATATCTAATATCTTTATCACTAAAACTCCTGTAAAAGCATTCTATTCTAATAATGTTTTTAGAAATATCCTATACAAAGTTTTATACCATAAGATACTATTTGATAGCTACAATTTTCTCATTTAACATTAACGGACTTAAAAACCAGAAACTTAAGGTGGAAAAACATTAATAAATTGATAATAATAAAATAATATATTGTGCAGCACTGAATGAAAACCAGTTTTTATTGAAAATGGTGCATTTTGTGGATCAAAAACATTTGAATACTTATTTTTATTTTTTATTTTTTTTAACCAGAAATTTAAATTATTTAATATATATATATATATATATCATCAGAAATTTATTTCAGAATTTTATATAAATTAAAAATATGGTTTAATATATTTCAGCATTCCAAAGAATTCTGATAAATCAAGTTTAGACCTACAAAACGAAGTCCAAGACTTCTCTGTAAAGAAATCTACTCCAATACAAGCTTCATCAACGAAAATTGGAAACAAATTAGATGACACACTGTCTAAGTTAATGAAACGGAAAAATTGCGTAAGTATAATATTTAAAATAAATTTTACAAATTTTAACTTGTTTTCTTTATAGCCCGAGCCTGAACCATTAATTGGAAAAGAAAAGAAAAGAAGGAAGTTAGATGAAATAGTATTAGGTTTATCAGCTGCGAAGGAGCAATCCTTATTCCCAGAGCCTTCGAAAAAACCTACAGTAACGCCGAGCGTTACTGTTACCCCTACTTCTGCACCTGTAAGCACCTCTCATAATCTTTCACAAAAACCATTTACTATTACCGTTACATCTGTTCCTTCCTCAGCTCCTTCAAGTAAAAGTAATGTAATGCAAAATATATTACCCTCTTTGTCTACAAGCAAAGACAGTTTTTCTACATTTTTGGCTCAAGCAGAACAACAAAACCTGCTGCTTAAAAAACAGCAGCAGCAGCAACGTAAAAGTTACGAGGCTATGATAGCCGATATAGGAAAAGTTTCCGACTTCAGCTCTAAAGTAAATTCATATTCTCATGAGGCTAAAGTCAATAAATGGTTAGCTGAACAAAACGCAGCTTTGGCAGAACAACCTTTGAGCGCTGATTATTTATCTGCAAGAAGGAGGAGACCTAGAGTGGATCCTACACTTCTCGACTGGAAAAAGCTAACTGGAGATGAAAATGTAGCTGTCATTCATAGAGTTACAGGAAAGAAATTAACAGGACCCAAGGCTCCCACATTAAAAAGATTAGGCCAGTGGCTGATGGAAAACCCTATGTATGACATTGATCCAAAATGGTCCGAGTTAGTTAAAGAAAGAGGCAATTTAAGTCATGATTTACAGAAGCGATTACCGGGACAGGGTGGTAGTAAGGGCAAAAACACAACACCAGGAAGACCTCCTTTATTAGCTAGTCCAACAGGATCTACTTCAAGTGTTAGCTCAGCTAATCTTACCACTTCATTACCATCAAGCATGTCATTTCCTTCTTTGAGTAACTCCAGTTTAGCAGGCCTAAATTCAAACTTACTTACAGGTCTATCTGGTATGGGCCAATTTGATCCTAAAACTAATCCATTATTAATGCCATTTGCTGGCTTGCCAAATATGGGTGCTCTAGGTTCCATGGGAGGTTTAGGCAATTTACCAAACATGAATTTATTTGCCAATTTAGCAACTCTGGGATTACCTGGTTTAAGCGGAATGGACGCGGCAACCTTAGCTAGTGCTACAGGAGAATCTAGTAAAAACATTTCAAGTAAAAGTAGCACAAATACAAGTAAACAGCAAAAACCTCAAGAAGCCCATAGTTCTAGTAAAAGTCAGTCATCTTCAAACAGTTCTATTCCTACCACAAATCCATTTCCTTTCTTCTTTCCTAATCCTAGTTTGTTATATACTCCACTTGGTTTAGGAGGCTTGAATCCCTTTACTTTACAACCAGGAATGTCTGCTGCTTATGACTCCCTAGCCCAACAATGTGGTTTATTGAATGGAGGCTTAAATCCTGCCGCATCGCCTAACTCTAGTTCAAAATTAAGCAAATCGAACATGTCAAGGGCACAATCTACAACTACCACTGCTTCAAGTCAAAATAAAATTCCAAGATCATCTAGTCGAGATGCACATTTACAGCAGTTACTGTTGCCCCCTGATACTCAAATATTGGAGAATATATCAAAGGCCTCCTTGGACATTTCTCTAAAACAGAGTAAAAGTGACAAGAAAGAGGATAAGAGAAAAGCATTGGAAAGTTTGAGGGGTATGCTGCCTACAGATTTTTCAAGCTCTGTAAAGGATAAGAAAACGAGTATACCTGGTTTAGCTGATTTTACAAAACTATTAGAGGCCCAAGTCAGTCAGAGCAGTAGCAAAAAGAGTCAAGAACTTCACATGAAAGAAGCCTTAGAACAGTTTACTAAAACTAACGCTGAACTAATGGCTAAAGCGTTAGCAGAAGAGCAGGCTAAATTAATGTCGGGTAAAAGGACAAGGGAAATAAATGAATTTTCTGAGAGACAAACTGAAGAAGAGGAACAACTACCCAACAAGAAAATTAAAGAGTCTCAAGAAAAATCTCCAGTCCCAACACCAGCAGCAACACCATCTCCTATGCCAAATATTAATGTAATTAATGAACAGGAAGGAGTAGATATAGAAACTTTACTTCCTCCTTCCACTGTTGTTAAATCTTCTGGTATGAGTCCAGATAAGGCAGATATGAAGGAGAAGTCGCCAGATATTAATAAAAAAGAAGAGGCAGAGCCATCAGAACCACTTGGAAATAAGGTAGGTGGATAAAGTAGATCATTACATTTGTCTCATTTTCTTTAGTTTCTATAGGTTACTGATTTTTTTTTATTCAGATCACATTTAAAAGTGGGGGTGTTGCTAGTATGAAAGTTACATTTTTTCTCCCCAGAGATCAAAAATGAAAATGCCAAAGGACCCCGCACAAATCTTATGGAAATTTGGTCCTGGTCAAATTTGCTGAATTTTTGATATGTGATAGAGTTCATCATACTGGTCAATTGTCTCAATGGCCACAAAGCTCAAAAATGGATAGTTTGGCCGGTACAGAGCTTTAAAGCCCCGAATATCCTCCACGGATTTATGTATATGCGCAGTGTGTATAGACTTTTGAAATAGCCTATTTCATTTTTTTTATTATCTAGGTTTATATTTTTGAGGTTGCTGAATTCAGATCTGTTGTTAGATTTTCAAAATTGACAGTTGGCAGCTGTCAAATAGCTGTCAATGTGCTATAATAAAGCCAAAAACTTGTTTTTTTATGTTTTATCTTTCTTTTTTTTTAGTTCGATAAGTTCAAAGACGATATCAAATCAATAACAATGACTATCGGCAGCTGTCATTTAGCTGTCAACAATTCTTCAAAGTCCGGTAATAAAGTCAAAAAATTATTTTTTGTTTATAACTTCAAGTTTTTTAGATAAGTGAATATAAATATGATATAAAATTATGTAGTCATCAGCTTACAGCTGTCAACAAGCTGTCAACTAACTGTCAAAATGCAATAATAGAGCAAGTAACTTATTTTTTGTGCTTAACTTTGTGGATAAGAAATCAAACATGATATAAGTTTATGACATCACTTTTGAACTCAGTGATCTAAGCAACTTAAAGCTTTTTAAAAAAAGTAACTTTTTGGCTTTATTATTGCATTTTGACAGTTAGTTGACAGCTTGTTGACAGCTGTAAGCTGATGACTACATAATTTTATATCATATTTATATTCACTTATCTAAAAAACTTGAAGTTATAAACAAAAAATAATTTTTTGACTTTATTACCGGACTTTGAAGAATTGTTGACAGCTAAATGACAGCTGCCGATAGTCATTGTTATTGATTTGATATCGTCTTTGAACTTATCGAACTAAAAAAAAAGAAAGATAAAACATAAAAAAACAAGTTTTTGGCTTTATTATAGCACATTGACAGCTATTTGACAGCTGCCAACTGTCAATTTTGAAAATCTAACAACAGATCTGAATTCAGCAACCTCAAAAATATAAACCTAGATAATAAAAAAAATGAAATAGGCTATTTCAAAAGTCTATACACACTGCGCATATACATAAATCCGTGGAGGATATTCGGAGCTTTAAAGCTCTGTACCGGCCAAACTATCCATTTTTGAGCTTTGTGGCCATTGAGACAATTGACCAGTATGATGAACTCTATCACATATCAAAAATTCAGTGAATTTGACCGGGACCCAATTTCCATAAGATTTGTGCGGGGTCCTTTGTAATTGTTAATTAAAACTAATTAAATATGCATGAACCTTCTTCTTATCAGTTATTCATTGGACAAAAAATGTCTCTTCTACGGTGCTAGCAAGCCCTTGTCTACAAAGCTGGCTATAATGAAAATGAAAGAAATTGATAGTGTTAACTTACATGATAAACAAAGAATGTTTAAGTTGTACACAGGCTCTACTATTGGTGGAGCATACAAATCTCAATTCTTTGTCCCTCAATTCCGATTATTTAATTAGCTCGTAATCCAGTACTGTTTTGCTACATTTGGAGTATACATCGAACACGATAGTATTACTCCAAAACCATAAGAATTCCTGATTTTCTGAAGTTGATACAGGTCCACCAAATCATTCATGTATGTTTATCGCGCACAAGATATGCAACTGGACTTGAACTAAGTCAAGCATATGTTGAACGTAATTCAATAGGGACTACAAGTGAAATAATAAAACTTACTTTAATTTTGTTGATAAGGTGTTGATGGTCTTGAACAAAGGTCAAAACGTATATGATCATGAGTTTTAGGCAATAGAAGTAATATTAAAGACGACGATTAACTCAAAATTCCCTAATGAGAGAAAATGGTTTAGTGACATACATTTTACATTTTCTTTACAAAAATTGAATTTTATTCTGCAAAATATATTTTTCTTATGAATATTTTTTGTATTTTACTTTTTAACATATAACAAAATGCAGTGAAAAAAAGTGAACTAAAATTTTCAATTTTTTAAAAGCGCAATTTAAGTGAAATATGTATCATGCGAAAGTACAATACAAAAATAAATTTTTAAATATGCCAAGCTTTTTTTTAAATATTTTCATTTGCTCTAGTTTTACACCCTTTTAAAAATATGGTAGAATTAAACAATTATTCAGAAGTAATTCTTTACAAGCAGGAAACATTCACTGCATTTCATTTCTATATCCTTTTACAATTTGAGAAAAAAAAAATTTAAAAGAGTAATTAAAAATAGTAATATCGAATATCCCTTAATATTTATATTACAACCACATCTATTATACAGGGTGACATGGAAAGAAAATGTAATGCATTGCACCATGTGATATAAGACCTAAAAACATATAAAAAGTTCCTATTCACTTAGGTCTAAATTTCTTTTGTTTTCAAGATAGAGTGTTAAAAGAAATTTTTGAAAATATTGATTTCTTTTTATTACTTCCGATTAAGTGAAGGGAATGTACTGACAATTGGTACATAATATCCTACAGGATATTATGTACCAATTGTCAGTACATCTCTTAGTCGAAAGTAATAAAAAAAATTAATATTTTCCAAAATTTCTTTAATTATATCTCAAAAACAAAAGAAATTTAGACATAAGTGCATAGGAATTTTTTATAAGTTTTGTGCTCCTCTTTCATGTGGTGCTATACATTGCACTTTTTTCCATGTCACCTTGTATATTGACAATTTTTAATTTCTATCAAAAACTATTTTTTTTGTATTTTATTGAGTAAAAAGCATATTTAAATTTCCAGGAAATAAGTTTGAAATTACGCGTTGAAATTATGTGTTTAAGTAGTTTCTACCGATCTTAGATATTTTAAAAACCTGAAGTACCTCATTATTAATATGTTTTCGTTACACCATACTGTTATTTTCATTTAACATACCCCAAAATAGACACGGTAACCGGTCCTTAACGGACGCCGGCCGTTAAGATTTCTTCACACACACACAATCGCACAACTGCATTTATTTATTTATTTATTTATTTATTTATTTATTTAAAGTACAATGTCCAACGGGACAGATCCCAGTTACAGGACAAGGTCGTACACACAATTTAAAATATACATTTAATATAAACAAACACAACAGGCAGTAATTAGAGTAGGAACAAAAATCCAATAAATAAACCAACCAGTAACAAAACATGACAGCAAATATACTAAATAAACATTAAAATAGATAAATGCAAAAATACAGATCAAATTAAGCAAATAATTTCTTAATAAAATCAATTGAATGAAAAAATATATCAAGTCGATCTTCATACATTTGGTAATTAGTGATCATTTGATGGAGAGGGGATGCTGCAAGAATATTAGTACGAGCAGTTGGCAACTGCAATACGGAACTCGATCTAGAGTTTAATCTAGGAACGCGATATAAAATTTGAGACACCAGAGAAGGCGCATTCAGGGAATTGTTGACGATATTGTGCAGAAAGATCAGAGAGTGCATAATGCGCCTCCGCTGCAAACTAATTAAGTCGAAAGTGGACAACAAAATATCCTCTGGAATGCCACGAACCGGATAGATACCAAAACTGATAAAATGCAATGTCTTCACGTATCTCCGCTGTACTTTCTCCAACTGAGTTATATGGATGTTATAATTGGGCTCCACACAATAGAGGCATACTCAAGCTTGCAGCGAACAAAACAATTGAACAGTGTATTCAATGTACGCGTGTTGCGAAAATCCTTAGAATTACGCAAGATATAACCTAGGTTTTTAAATGCAGATTCAGTTATTGCTTGAATATGTGCGTCAAATGATAGATTACCACAAAATGTCACGCCAAGGTCATTGAATTGCGAGACTATTTAAAATAGTATTATCTAGAACAAGGGTCGGCAACTGGCGGACTGCGGTCCAGGTCCGGACCGCGGAAGGTAAAATACTGGACCGCCAAAAATTTTTTGAAAGTATAAATTACACAAATAAATTATTTAAAAAATGTTTTTTACGTTTAAGTGCAAATCTTAATCAAGTGTGTGAGTTCTTAATGGTTAGTAAGCAGATTAAATTTGAGTCCAAATTAAAATAAAAAAATAATATGAATTTTTTTTTGGACCTCGTTAAAAATTTTCAAAAGTATCTGGACCCCACCTAAAATTACTTGCCGACCCTTGATCTAGAAGGTAATCAAAATGTAGAACATTTTTCCGGCGGCTATAGGACATAGTATTACATTTACTGATGTTTAAAGGTAAATGATTGTCCCGACACCAACGGTGTAATTTAGTTAAGTTATCCTGTAATCTATAACAATCAGATATTGACATAATCTCAATAAACAATTTAAGGTCATCCGCATACATTAGATAATTAATGTCAAATAGTCAGTTAAGTCATTCATGAATATAATAAAAAATAAGGGCCCCAGTATAGACCCCTGAGGAACGCCTGACAATTGCGGAAACTTATCTGATTGGAAGCCTCGATATTGAACAAATTGAAAACGGTTGGCAAAGTAGGAGCGAAACACATTTAAGAGATCATCAGATACACCCACTGAATGTAATTTATAAATCAGCAAATCATGGTTAAGCCGATCAAATGCCTTCGAAAAATCAGTATATATCACGTCCACCTGACCACCCCTATCCAACACCTCGGAAATATATTGTACCTTGTTGGCTAAGTTTGTCGTCGTTGATCGTCCCTTAACAAAACCATGCTGAAATTGAGATATATATTTTTCCACGTGAGAGTACAAGTGATTGTGAATGACTAATTCGAAAATTTTTGAAAAATTACTTATAATTGCAATGGGCCTGTAATTCATTATATTATTTTTGTGACCTTTTTTATAGATGGGACATATTCTAGAAAGTTTCCATAATTCTGGAAATACACCAGACTTGAGAATGGTATTAAAAATTATTTTCAACGGTTTAGCAAAAATTATTCCACAATCTTTTACCAAGAAGGCAGGTACTAAATCAGGACCCATAGTAAAGTTACCTTTAATTTTTTTGATGGCACGTATAATATCATCTTCAGATATTTCAGGAATGCGTAGTAAGTCATGATTTACAATAATATCACAGTTGGACAAAGGAGCAGAACTCTTGCCAAAAGCCTTCGAAAAATAGTCAGCGAATGCATTCACTACATCTGAGGGATCATCCAACATTATGTCATTATAACTCATGTATGAGGGAACAGACGTAGTATTTGCTTTAGCGCCAATATATGACCAGAAACGTCTTGGATTTACGCATAAGTCTTTTTCAATTGATACCAAATAGTCCCTATAGGATAAATGAATTAAAGATTTGACTTCAGATCTTAATTTTTTTAATTTATTATAATCATCAATGTTAGAAGATAATTTATAACTTCGCCACAGTTTGTTTTTTAACCTTAATTTCCTAATGATTTCACCATTAAACCAAACTGGGTACTGGCCACGAACATCTCTCTTTTCAGGTACATGTTGTACAAGCAAAGTATTTAATATGCTATAGAACTCATCAATTACTGAGTTTATGTTTACAATGTTAGAAAGTGGTGTCCAGTCAACATTAGTGAACTCCTGGTATAGTAAAATAAAGTTACATTTTTTAAAATTAAGCAGCATGATGAGAATCTTCGTTAAGAAGAGGATCATCTGCTCTAGATATTGAACATTAATCATAATTACTATACACAAGATCCAACACTCTACTATTTACATTCAAAATAAAGTTGTGCTGAACAAGATTAAAAAATGCTGTAAAGGTATTCAATGAATTCATAATAGGTCTGTGATTATTAGTGATCAAGTTCGGTATATTGAAGTCGCCAATAAATAAAATGTTAGAAGCAAAAACATGATAAAGTGATTCGATGACATCAAATAAGAGGTTATAAACATTAGCACCTATGTTGGGAGGAATGTATAAAAGTAAAATATGCAAAATTTATTTATTTATTAGATAATTATGATGATTTCCTGTTAAACAAAGGTTTTATTTTTTATTATAATGTACATGGAAATTGATTTCATAATTTTTATTCTGATAAATTTGAAAACCTTCAAATAGAAGTCAGCGCGTCAAATGAAATGAATGAAACTGGTGTAACGAAAACCTTTGAACGACACACAGCCAATACGTAATTAACGTCCTCGGTGAATTATAAACCTCGGCTACGCTACGCTACTCCTCGGATTGAAAACTCCACCTCGCCCGTTATTTACTTATCGGCCTTGTAACATTAATAACTACGACAGTCTTATTATGTGATTTTTTTATTCTGAATGTGAGTGATGTTTTAAATTCAATAAACATATATGTATTATGGAAACATCGCTACCAAAATGCGCCAATTATCCACTGGATTACTTGAGTGAAGGGTGACAAGTTGTACTTCAGAAATAATTGGATAAATATTTCTCACACAATAGAGGGAAAGAAAATATGCACTGCAGTGACTTACAAGTAACACTACCCAACTGTCACTCACCGATCGGAATAAAACTTGGCAAATCGATGGAACTCTAAAAAATATTGAACCCGTATTTTTTTATTTTCTCGGAATTCACTTTCAAGTAGTAGAAACCACCCCTAGAAGACGGTAAGAACAAAAATCTCCATAAATAAAATTAAAAAATATATATATTTATCAACCAAACTCACCCTATCCACCCAAACCAACTAACCTTCCCACTCCAAGCCTACCCTTCTCCTAAACTAATCAACCCCTTTACCTCAATATCAAACGCCCATCTAAACCTTTCCATCCTAACTTCACCCTACCCACTAAACCAACCAGATTCTCTTGCCCTCACCAACAGCAACCCTCCACCTAACTCGACCCCTACCTTCATGAACGGTATGCTTGATTATCGTGAGTCCCTTTGCCTCTCCCGTTGGTGATGCTTGATTAGCCTAACCCCCTTACCTCTCACTGATCGGGAAAAAAACACGATATCGTTAAATCAACTGATATCCCCTATTTTACATATTCATTACAATAATGTGGTGAATTTACTGCATGGAAAGGTTTAATTGGTATAGTTGGGCCTTTGATGTACGGGTTCAATATTTTTTAGAGTTCTATCGATATGCCAAGTTTCATTCCGATCAGTGAGTGACAGTTTTAACCAATCGGCGATTGCATTACCTTGAGCATAGACGAAGCATATTTTCATGGTAACCAAATCATTAATATTGGTGTTGCTAAGATTTAGAAATTTTTAGTTGGTAATACCAGCCGTGCAATGTTGGTTGCTTAAGTTCGGCGATCACTTGGCTTGTAAATATTTATGAAGGCTACTAATAAATTTGAAGTTGATCTACCGAAAAATGATCTCTGAGCTGTTTATTAGATGTAGGTATAATTCGATCCTGGTCTGTGCAATCTCATTAGTCGAATATTGATCATATCCTTTTATCTGTAGATGGCATTAATTAAATAATCGGTCCAAGTTAGTGTCATTTAAGAAAAAAATCACAATGTAACCATGAACGTCACTATTTGAATATGAATAAGTATAATAATAGATTATATATAAAATTTTCCAAAAATTATTCGAAAAAGTTCGGCTTATAATAATTATCTTGTAAAAATATATTTATTTGTAGGACAAAGAGGAAGTACCTAAGGAGGATCAGAGCAAACCTGATGTGACGGAAGAACCTGAGAATCCTCCAAAAAAAAGTACAAAAAGAACTAGGGGTAAGCGTAAATCCGGCGAAATTCCTATAGATCATGAATCCGTGATAGCCAAGAAAAATTTGCGTTCAAGTGCTAGTCGTTCGGCCGCAGTAGCTGCTGCAAGGCAAAAATTAGAAGCAGAAAATGCACAACGTGAAAGTGAAAATAGTGTGTCATAAACTTCCATTGGCCAAACTATTTATTTTACTTTGTACTTTAACTGTGGGTATATGGTGAACTGTGATAAAATTTGATCTTGTCCTTTGAACACTTTAAAAAGTGAAAATGGTGTGTATATTTGAATTATGAGTATTGCAACTGTCGGTTTTTATGGAACTGATTAATATTACGCTTCATATAAACATGTACTCCCCAATTTATTAATTAACAATGACTTAGTATATATTTAATTCTAATAAGCTTCAACAATGTTGGATGACTATTGTAATTACCAGTTTTTAAAATATATATGGATTGACATAAGAGACTCGAATGTTACAAAAACAAAAGTACTTTGAAAATATCAGCGAGAGAACATTTCAATTTGATTTTATGTTCACTTTATAATTTATGTCTCGAGTTTGAATTTAGTTTTAGAATTTCTCTGATGACTCACAATTTGAAATGTTTTTTTGTTGGAGTTTTTCATAATCAGCATGATATTTTTGATTTTCATTTTCTACAATTTGTATATATATATAAATATGTTAGGAATTATAACAAGATCAATTTTGAAGAGGTGTGAAAAAGTGTGTAAATAAATTCGTGTTTTTTATTTTTTTTTATTTAATCATGTTATGTTAAATAGTGACATAAGTCTGATGAATATTTATTATAATTTTTGCAATGTTCTTTCAATTTTCATATTTATTACTTGGTTCTGCATTTGCGCCCTAGCTAAAATGCCAGATTTATTAGATCTGTCGTTATCATATACAACGTGTACACGTATCATAGTATGGTAGCTCTCTCATTTATTGTTACAATGTTCATATAGATAATTAAATGATATAAATTAAATTATATTTTTTTTATTCAAAAACTAAAAGTAAATATAGATATGCCTATTTTTCTATAATAAGAAATATGGAGAGACTCATTATTAACCCTTTCGCTGCGCAATACGTCTGAACGTAGCTAGAAATAGAAACTGAAAGAGAGATGAATAATCTTGGCATTATTACCAGTACCTTCCATAAAAACATTTGTCACAATCGCTATTAGCTTTGCCCGCAAAAATTCCCTATACTAATTGCACTAATGTGCATGGTTGTGAATATATACGGTTTGAGCAGCCTGATTCAATTTAACTATTAAAGCAAATTAATCCGCCTGGAGCAGTTTAAGCCCTATAAATTGTTAGCAAATAAATACATCTGGAACAGTGAAAGGGTTAAGACAGCTTTCTTCAAAGCGCAGTGTGCTCAGATTGAGATCTTTCATTGCACATATATTCCATATATCCAACATGCTCTATATCTCAATTTTTGTCAGTTTTCAACGTTACTTACCTCTCTACTTTGTCAATACAACTGTTTGCTGTTTAACCAATGGGTCACAGGCTAAGCTGAACCAAGTGGTGCCTGTCATTTTTACATAACCTACTACCTTAATGTATCGAATATGAAATGCTGTTAACAATAATCAGACAGCATCGTCGAATCATGGTCAAAAAATAGTAGATCGTGTAACTACTACTAAAGTAAGTAAAAGGCTTCTATCTGGAACAGTCGCTGGTCAGTGTCCTTTGTGAGAATCTACCTTGACAGTTATATTCAAAGATGAAAAATTTTCAGTTATTGGATTTTTGAAAATATTACTATAAAAAAACTGGGGGAGAAAAGTTAAATTTCTTTTAATTGTTATCATCCATATTAAAAGTAGTATATATGTTTTAGAATGAATTCCTCATTCATTTGTATGCAGTTAACAATTCAAGTGGTACCAATTAAAAGGAATTCCTCTGTGATGTTTAAATTGAAAATATTTTTCATAGATGCATCATATGCATATGCTATTTTATAGCAAGTTTCATACTTCAAAAATAACTTCTTGAAGTTTTCATAGTTCTATGTAGATCAAGTTATTTTAGTAAAATTTTGCTTCCTTGAAAAGTTTTTATTTGTTAATCTCTTTAAGATATTTTATATATTAGGGTTTTCATGGTTGTTAAATATGAATATGGGTTTATTGTTTCCCTAAAACATGAAGGAATAATACATTATTTGTTTTTCTTGCTATATTTCCTTATTCATAGTTTTTATGAAAATGCAAGTGTTTTCCTAAATGACCCTTTATGCACTGTAAAAAATTTATACTCATTGCATGTCATTAAAATGCCTCGCTGTAAAGAAAAATTGATTTCCATTTTTTACCTGCAGTTATCGCTGTAGAGAACTGAGTATTTGGAGTTATCTTAACTAATTAAACCTCTTATTTAAAAATCATCAAGATATAGCTCTAAATGTGGTTCCGTCAACAATATTCAGAGACACTGTATTTAAAAAAGGTGTAGAGGGACGTTTCTAAATTGTAAAAAAAAGATTAATATACGGGATGTCCCAGACCACCTGTCCACCCCTTCTAAAATCCAAATGGTTCAGATGAAAGTTAATGGTCTCAAGGAGCACATATTGTCATGACTTTGAAGGTCATTTTCAAGGTCGATTTTAAATGGAAACCCTTATTTTCAACCCCGGATTCGGAAAGAGCGGAAAATTCTATGTTCAGATGATGTATTGTGTGGGGTCCATTTGACCCACACAAGGTCAAATTTGTCAGGATAATGTTCTCGCCAGTCTTTCAGCAGCGGCAAATGACCCTGCTTCAAAATAAAATTATAACGTGTGCTTCATTTCATTGGTGTACATCATTTCCTGCAAGTCTTCTAAATTTATTTTAATTAATTTATTTTTTTATTTATTTATACTCATACATACAGACAAAGGGACAGTCCAATTACATGTACACAGTTGAGAAATATTAGCCAATATAAACCAGTTAAAAATAATGTATAAACAACCAGACACATGCAAAATACAATGTAAAAAGAGAACAAAGAAAGAAAACAAAAAAATGTCAATTAAAATGTACATAAAACACCCAATCGTATACGTATCATAAGTATGAGAGTAGCTTAGTCCGACTAATATTAAAAATATCAATAACGTATATTAACAAATTATTCACCATACACAGACACTGTTCTAGGGGTGAATTAATATAAAATATTTTAAAGTCATATCTAGTTCACATTCTCATATCGAGTAAATTAATATTAATAGACGCCAACAAATCGGGAACAACAATCTGACTATGTAAAATATTATAAGCGAACAAAATCTGAACCTTTTCTCTTCTATCCAAAGAGGTCACACCAAACTGCTCGTTGATGTTCATATGATAATGTTTAATGTTTGTTAATGTTAAGGTTATCCAAACATGTCTCTTCAAAATTTTGCAACATTTATCCGGCACATTTTCCACTAAACCGTAACTGCGTAAAATAATTCAGTAAAAAAAAATTGACCTTAATCCCAAGGGTGGGAGAATCACTAAATCTATGCAATGGTTCATTGATATTCCACCCCATACCATAATGGATATGCCATCGAACCCTAGAGTTGGATCAACTTGAAGTGCTATAAAACGCTCTTGTCTACGACGCCAAATTTGAACCCTAGAATCATTTCCAAACAGACAAAAGCGAAATTCGTTTGTAAAGAACACATTTCTCCACTGCCTGGCCATCCAGTTTTGATGTAGTCAATCTTTATACTAACTTCAAGTAGATAAAACATAAACATTCAGGCCGAGTATGTATCCCATTTTATCATAATAACAGTTTAACAGTTATGTTATTTCAGGGTTGTTAACGTTACCTGTTAAGATATAACGTGCATGTTATTGAGGAATTAATTTTTAGCAAATAATCGTATTGCAATTTTGTTGTTTTTTGAAGACGCTTTTTTGTCGACATTTTTAATAATAATTATGCAAAATTATTATAAATGAGTCAGTATTAGACAAAAACACATATAATTGACGGATGTCATTTAGGTTATGAAATATGAAACAAATGCAAACTCGTAAATAACGGGTAAATACAACATAAAATAGTTTGTAACATGTTATCTTAAATTATAACAGAGTTTCTTAAAGGCAAGGAATTTGGTGTTGCTATAGTTTAACGTAGGTGTTATGTGTCTAATGAAAATGAACGGCTTGTAAAATTTCCATTTACTTGCCGGTTTTATAAACGCACATCGAAGGTAAGTTGTAAAATTTAAGTAATTAGGTAGTAATAGGAGCCCTAACAACTTAATGTTCGAACAAAATGTAGTTTAAAAATAAAACAGCTATGTAAAATACGTATTTTTATTTTATATAGTGAAACCACTTATGATCAGTATAATTGGTAATTATCTTTCAAAATATGTGAATTATGTGGCAATATGCTACAAAAGAAGTGTTCTTCATCGTCTTGTAAGTTAACACCAACAAAAATACCAATTTATTCTGACAACTTAATGTTCGGACATTTAAAGTTGACGGACGTTTAGGAATGTATAAAAACGATATGTTGTGTTATTTTGCTAAGTAGGTGGTGCTTAAACGTAAAAACAAGTAACGCATATTGTTATTCATCTTATTGCTGTCGACGACAATGGTTCGTGGCGTAGCAACTGACATTAAAGTGCGAGAAATTATTGTTAAACTGTATCATGAAGGTAATTCGATGGAAAAAATTAGTAAGTGTTTAAATATCGCAAAATCTACTGTCGGTGATGTT